TAGGTTGAAGTGTCATTGGGTAGGTTTTAAGTGAGGAGTACAAACTGAGTTGTTTGACTCTGAATTAATTCTACTGATAGTGAATTTCCTCCCTGTCTTGGTAGCCCCCAGATGTAGGTGTTGTTGACACTGAACTGGGTGAATAATTATTGTGTTATTTATTGCTTTTACTTACAGCTTAATTAGTTAGTACAGTAGTCAATGTCATAGTGCAATGTTATAACAGTGGATTTTAACTTGACTTGATGAAGGAATATTCCCCTTAGTGTTTCAAGGAATTCCATTTCTAGGAAATATGTGAGCATTAATAGGTTTATCATTTCAAGGTCTACTTTCATTTTCTCTTTGAAAGCTTCAATTTCAATGATGCAGTTTTCTTCCACCGGTAGGTCATTTATATACAAGCATATGATTAACATTTTGTTGTTTTCACTTTCCTTCACATACACACCATGATTAACACTGTATCTTTTGAATACATGTTAAACAAAGACTTTGTCAAATCTTTAGTTTCATGCTTTTGGGTCTTGTTTTAATCCTTAAAAATATTTGTGAAGCATATATGCCAAGTCCTCCTTACCTTTGATTTAAAATCTTGTGGTTGGTTGACAAGGACATTTTCACCTAATTCTCAATTTAGGAATGAATATTTTACATCTAAATAGAATACTTGTCACCTCCTACTGAAAGCTAAAATAATACTCCCTCCGTCCCACAATGAGTGACCCATTTGGAATAAAAGAGTGTCCCAAAATGAATGAACCATTTTAATTTCCAATTCAATTTTACCCTTTAATTAATATTATTTTTATCATTCTCAATACTTGATAAGGGTAGTTTAATAAAAATATCACTATCTTTCTTTCCATTATTCCTTTTTCTTAATATGTGTGAAATGGTCAACTGGGTCACTCATTGTAGGATGCAGGGAGTAATAAACTTGATTATTTCATGACTGGCCACATATGAGAATACTTCATATTAATACATGCATTATCTTAGTAGGAACCCTTTTTCCACAAAAAATTTGCTTTAGCTTCTACATTCACTTCATGTCAATGTCTTCCTTGTCATTTAATAGTTTTGTTTGCTCCCAAGTTTTATTTTTCTCAATAAATATCATGTTCATCATGCATAGCACATTTCCACACTTATTCTTTCAAAACTATTTTGAAATCAACTTGCTAAGAAATAACAAACATTTCATAATATACTAGTTCACCATCTTCCACAATGGCATTGTCTAGAATCACATTAAAACCTACTAATCTTCTTGGTATGTTTATGTATCTTTGTGGCATGACCTTAATCTGAGGTTCTTCATTTAATCCTGCATCATTCGCATCACCCTCGTAAATGTTTTTTTTCTATATTGAATTACTTGTCATCCAAGTCAACTACACAACTTAAGTTGTACATAACCCCTTGTTTCCAATCTCATGCTTCTTCCTCTATCCCTTTGACATCTCTGTTGACCTTAATATTGTTTAACACGTGATTGTACAACCAATATACACTAGTATTGTGATAACCAACTAAGATAACTAGTTCACTTATATCACTTATCTTCTTTCTTTTTGCATCAGAGATATGTTTGAAACATAGTAAGTCAAACACTCTCAAATGAGTCACAATTGTCTTCCTTCCTAACCAAACTTTCTCAAATACCATATTTTTCAATCTCTTTGTATGAAATATGTTCAAGATATAAGTAATTGTGGTAACTACTTCTCCCCATATATTATGATTTATCCATTTCACTTTAGTGTGGTTCTTGTCATGTTTGTACATTGTGTCCCTTCTTTCATCTAGGCCATTAATTGTGGAGTATATGGTGATCTAAGTTCCTGTATAGTGTCATGTTGAGTACAATATTCGTCAAATTCTTTGGATGCATACTCTCCACTACCATTTTCCTTAAAATCTTCAACGTCTCTAAGACATCACTTTTAGCCTTGACTATATTTAACTACATCATTATTGAAAATTTATCTACAAATGTGATGAAGTATTTTTCCAAATGATAACACATTAAATGAGCCATATATGTTGGAATGAACCACATTTAATACCTCGATCAACCTAATTTGCAAGTTTTTATTGAAATTTGATATTGGATTTTTTCATAGCAGACATGGTAGGCAAAATCTCTCAAAAGTTATAACCTTAGACATGTCTAACACCATCTTCTTTGAATTAAGATGACTTAATATATTAAAGTTCAAATGACCATACCTCTTAAGCCATAGGAGGCTTCTATTTTATTGAATCACGGTAGCAAAACAGTTAACCTCCACTGTATTAAACAAGGTTTTGTAGGTTTTATTTTTTGTAAGTACAAATTTCAAATCTAGTTTCCTTTTAGCATTATACAACTTAAGTGAGACATCATCCATGATTACCGAATTTACTTTATCTACTAGCGGACCAACACTCATTAGACTACACTTCATCTCAAGGACATATAAAACCTTTTCTAATATCACTTTCTCGTCATCTTGCAAATGAACAAAAACATCCCTCGTGTCTTCTACTTCCATGAAGTTTTATCATTGAGCAACCTTTTGTTCCATATCATATTATTTAAACAACATGTGTCAAGGTACCAAGTCATTAAATCCATTGTATATTCAACTATTGTCATCGTCATCACATTTGTTTATTCTTCATTGTTCATAGGTTTTTTCCTTTACCAAACCAACATCCTTAGGATAGTATCCAAATTTTCCACAATTGCAACATTGGATCTTCTTCTTTTCAAAAGAAATTTTCTTGTTTTAATTCTTCTCGTTCCATCTTTTTCTCCTATGAGAGGATTCATGTTTATCTTCATACTTATCTTTGTCTTTTCAACTATTTTGTTCATACTTTTTCAATTTTTCTTATCAATCTCACTCTTCTTGAATCTAGCGAAAAAAAACTTTTTCTTATTCTTTACCATTGTTTCTTTCAACCACATTCAATTCAAAGATTTAAGAGTGTTGGGAAACATGTGTGAGTTGTATTCAAAAATAAGTGTGAGTAAGTCCCACATTACTTAGAAAAGTGGAGGTTAAGCACTTTATAAGTGAGAAGACCCATACACCTATCACCTTAAGATTTTGGGTGAATTTATGGTGTCTCTCACTTATTTGGATGAGCCTTTGACCTTTAGGTGAGTCTTTGACCCAATGTGAATGCTTCCACCTCATGATGACCCATCAAAGAGTGATATGCACGTCTTCAATCTCGAGGTCACTCAATTTCTTTGTTTCTTCAATTGTCACCACAATATGATCAATGTTTGTGGTATGTGTTCTCAACATTTTTTGTATCACCATCTCATTTCTTATGACATCACCACAAATCTTCATTTGATAGGTAAGAGTCAACAACACTCTCATTATTCTTCATCTCCATCCATTCACATTATCTTCCTAAGTCATGCAACTTCACTTTCTTAACATTTGCACCACCTTTATCGTTCTTCACAAGAATATCTTAAACAGTCTTCTTAAAATTTATGAGTGAAAAACAAAACTATTTTATCGTCTTTGGATCCTTCTAACTTCTCATATGTATATCTAATGGATTTGCAATATTTAACCACTTGGCTAACAAACTAATAACCTCCTAGCTAACACATTAATAATAATTAAACACGACATGTTAGTTAGGTAATTCAATGAATCTTGATTAGTCCTAAGATCACATCGATCAACAAAAATGAGCTTATAAAAAAATATTATAATATATTTGAATAAACCAATTAGATTATAGTGTCACCTAATAAAGCATATTATTCTTCTTTTAGCAAAGTATATTGTTTATTGGAAGAGAGCATTATATTATATTCGATGCTTGCACGTTTTAGAAAAAAGAATATCACTCATTATATGTCATGCAAATTCGTTTTGCATCTCCAAAATAATAAGCCTATTAATTGGTCTTTTGGGTCTTAACCTAGCCCAATGGTTTGATGATCAAGTAACACGTGCCCCATGAGTTATTTTTGGGGTAGAAGTTGCATCATGATTCATGCGTTAGTACCAAAATTGGAGGAAAACCTTATAGAAGCATATTCGTTGAATATTCGCAATTATTTCTAGAAGTAATTCCTTTGCGTGTGTATCACGCCATGAAGCATGCCATGTTCTTCTCTATTGAACTTCACTATTTTGCTCTTAGAGCATCTCCAATGGTGCAACCTATTTTTAGGTTCTTTGTGGGACCCACTGTTTTAATGCAATTCATTTAATTTTTACTTTAATGGTGCAACTCTAAAGAATCCATATTGGGTCCCACCACTTTACTTAAAGAATATTATTTATATTAAATTTATTTTATTTAAAATTATAATTTAAATATTTAAATTTTAATTAAAATGATAATTAAAATAATAAATAAAATTTTATATTAAATTATAGTTTTTATATTATAAAATTAATATTTTAATATAAAAACCATTGAAGAACTTTTCCATCTTGAAAACAACAAATATGAGTGTCATGTTGGCAAACCCACTCTAAGAACTCTCATTAGAGTTGCTCTTAGTCATGCTTTGAAATTATATATTTTTCTTCTTTTTCTAGTAGTTTAATATACAATGAATATACGAATTTTGACTTTTACTCACACTATTGTTGACTTTAAGAAACCCTTTACTTTTAAATTTTGAATTTAGCACATTGGCTAACTCCAATTTTCTAGGGTTAAATCGTAAAGTTTGATTAACGATTCAAATATCTTTTACCGGTTTTCTTAATTATTAAAAATATTTTAGAAAATACATACAAATTGGACTAAAATCATCAAAGAAGGCAAAGAAATAAAGAAAATCAAAAGCTCACAACTTTATTAGTAATTTCCATCTGTGAGTAAACATGAAAATCGAAAAAGGGTAAAAAAAAAAACTTAAAAAAAGAGAAAAAAAAAGCCCTTAAAAAATTTACATGGCCTAAAACATGAGAACTAGCACAAGGTTGTCCTGTCTCATTCAAAAAAGTAAGTGTGTTTGAGTTCTATTCTTCATCTTCTTCATCGATCCAAACCATATAAGAAAGTGGGTTTGGTGACAATTTAGATTTGTTATTGTCAATAACATCAAAAGATTGTGTCTTGTGGGTATAAACCAAAGAAGAAGTTGAAGGGGTGGGTTTGATCATGGTAGTAGCTGATTGTTGTTGTTGCTGCTGTTGAGTCTGAGAATGATCTTGAGTGTTTGGAGTCTGGAGAGGAAGCACGGTGGGAGAAGAAGCAGTAGATGGTTGTGGTTGCGGACGAGGGTAGAAGAGATCGGTGGGAAAAAAGTTGTATTGTTGAAGACCTGCCATTAGAGTAGAGAGAAAGGTTTTTGGGTATATTGGTTTTTCTTAGTAAAAGTGATTAGGGGAAAGATGTGTATTTATAGAGAGAGAAAGAGAGAAAATAGAAAAAGTGGGTTCTAAACTTTTCTATTTGTTGGCTTGGGAATCAAGGGATTTTCTTGGAAAAAGGGAAGAATTTCTGTTTCTTTTTTGTCGATGTTTACAATTACTGTTTACTTTGTCCGGTTTTAACTCTTATATATTGCAGAACCCCTAACTGTTGAGATCAAATCTTTCTAAATATAATTAATTGTTGTGTGATTCAAAAGAAGAGGACGAGAGAGCATAGAGAAATTTTAATCAAATATATGTTTAGTTCACAAGAGGAGATGAGAGGTTTTAAAACTAATTTATCTTTTTATTCTTAAAATGTTATAACACTTGTGCACAAATAATTTTTTTAAAAAAAATAATATTTACCAAAATTTTTTGTTAATTCATTAAAAGAACATAGATAATCAAACACAAAATATTAATTTTTTTCATCTAATTATAATTCTTCTATTTTTTTTAACGGCAACTCTATTATTTTTATCGTTATGATTCAACTTTTTTTATGTGTTTTATTCTATTTATTTTTATTTAATATTTAGTTTGTAATAACTGAATTGTTTTATAAGTTGTTGTATTGTCTTACATATTAATAGATAAATGTAGTATGAGTTATATATTATGTAGAATTTAATTTTATAAATATTCTATAGGATTAAATGAATTATCAAGATGAGAAAATGGTTTATATGATCGTTGATCATATAATGTGATTTTATGACGTTTATTAATATTTTATTTTCATTTTAAAATATTTTAGAGTATTTTAATTATTAAGGTATAATATTAACAAAGACAATATAAATTTTTATTAAATAAAAGTGAAGATAATTTTGACAATATACTAAATTGTCTACATTATATTGTCTAGATTATATTGTCTAAATACATTTGTTTGCTCAATTAATTTAAAAAATAAACCTTTTCTTATAAATAACATTGTAAGGAATAATATTTTATTTATATTGTATTTTATTGTATTTTATTGTATTTTTATGAGAAATTATAAATAAATATTGTTGAACTATATATCAACCATTTTCAACCCTTTACCCTAACATTCAAGTTTTATCTTTTTCATTTTTATGACTTGATTGAACGTTAAAATATTAATCTTATATGTATCTCTCTGATCATAATTTTTTTTATCATTTTACGTTGGTTATTTTTAACCTATCATTCATTTGTTGTTCCAATATGAAATTGTGGTGCAACTTATGGAAATCGTCTTCTGATTCTCACGTTGTTTTCTTGATCTCTTCCATTGCACTTACGTAACTGCTATGTTAGCTATTCAAGGAACCGTGACCAGCTTTGCTACCAAATTCTGATAATTGTTAACCTCCTTGATTAAGGGTTGTCAGAGGCTTTTAGTGTTCGTTGTAGAGTTTTAAAGCTAGCTCGTGTAGGAAGGTGAAAAGCTCTATAAATGCGGTATATGCATAAAATGAGAATTGACCCTCTTTTCAACCATAGGGTTTAGGTATTTATAGGAATCTTGGGGCCTGGATCCCAAATCCCTAGAAAGTAGCAACCACTTCTAAGAGAGCGTGGGAATGAGACAATTAATCCCCTATTATTCAAGAGTGTGTGGTTAACGTATGAAGGTAGTTTTAAATCAGGAAGTTTCTTAATAAAGTTTTCTCTCAAAGTTACTGCTGCTTCGCGGATGGTGATAACGCGAAATTATATCGTTTATTTGACTTGACTTACATGGATTTTACCTTCGATTATTATTAGTTTGTCCGATTTTTATCATATTATTTAATCATTTTGTTTGTTTTTGTAGGAATGAGGACATAATTGGAAAAGAAAGAAAAGGAAGAAAATGGAAAGAAAAGAAGAAGAAAATGGAAGGACAGAACTAGAAAAGAAAAGAAAAAAAAGGTGGGGGCCATTGTAACACCCCAAATTTAATTGGAATATTTATTTAATTTATTTAAATAAGAATAATCGCATTTCTGTGATTTTTGATGGTTTTGTGGAATATTGAGAATTAATGGAATTGTGATTATTTATTTAATTAATAGTATGTAATATGAATATATTAGTATTATTATTAATTAAAATAAATATAAGTTGGATAAGGGCAATTTGGACAACTAAGAGGAGTTAGTGATGGTATTATGGGAAAAGTCCAATTTTGAGGCCCAAGGCTAAGTTTAACAAAAAGGAAATTGTGAAGGGATTAGGATTCATTTGTTAGATCGTGAAGAGAATTGAGGTCAGAGCTCTGAGAAGGGAGAATTGGAGGCAAAAGCTTCGGAAGGTTCCCTGAAATATTTGAGAAGGCTTTGATCGACAATTAAGGTATGAGGAGTATTACCTTCATGATTTTCCATGTGTAAATTCAATATGTTTAAGGTCGATTTCAGGTTTAAGGGTTTTGAGGGTAGATATGAGAAAAAGTGATATTTGGCCTCCGTGGCCTAAATCTATTATTGGTGAATCTAACCGTGGAATTCATTGGGGAAAAGGGAAAGTTAGGTCTTCGTGGCCAAAACTTTGATTTGTTATTTGTCTAACCCTGAAGGGATAGGGATATTAGATATTGAGTAATTCTAATGAGTATGGGTAATTGTAGGGAAATTTGTGATTTAGGGTGTGAATATGATACGTGATTAGCATAATAAACCATAGATTTTGTGCCTTTATCGCCATAAGACCTTAGGGATGATTTAGGGATGATTTAAGGGCATTGGGGAAGTGAATCGTGGGGCTTTTTGAGTGGATTTAGGTTCTAGTGCGTATGCAGAGTTTGTTGTCATCGCATTGTTCGCCTAGCGAAAAATGCTTCACAGAGCGAAGGATTCAGTCCCAGACTCGCCTAGCGAATTCGCTAGCAAACGTAGCAGAGTTTCGCGAATGCTGATTTTGTGCAGCGATCCCTTAATGTTTTGATGTTGTGATTTCTGTGATGAATTAACATGGGTATAACTGTGAATTCCATGTGATTAATATGCGATAATATAATGATTACCATGAGTATGATTGTGAATTCTATGTGATTAATATGTGATAATATGATGAATTAATATGAGTATGACTGTGAGATCTACGTAATTTGTACGTGATTATGATGATGAGCTATGATGACATGATGTATGATGATGATTATGATGATGAGCTATGCTGACATGATGTATGATGATGATTATGATGATGAGCTATAATGATATGATTTGATGATGATGATTATGATGAATGATGATGCACCTATGATGTTATTATGAGGATGATTATTGACGTATGCATCATGCATTCATGTGCATCCGGACTTCGGTTCAGGACCTCGATTACTTTGGCTTCAATCCCATTGTGCGGATGTGAAGTATTTTGATGTGCTCCAGTTCTCAAGTAGAATTGATCCTATTGATGGGGATCTATGGAGGGTTGATGACCCAGTGTCCATCACACTGTGATGATTGATACCACATGCATTGAGTCTTGTTGCATTTGCATTTATGAGTGATTTGGAATAATTTATGATGTTGTGGCCTATTGATGAATATGATGATGTTGAATATGATTATGACGCCATTTTATATGTTGATTTTCTATATTGATTATTATGAATCGTTTTACTCACCCTGCTTGTTTGAATGTTACCTCTTCGTGAGTAACATGCAGATGACCAGGTTTAGTCGTGGATGTCGTTGAGGACTTTTGAAAATTCGAGTTGTTAGCCTTTGGGTTAACTTAGAGGGTCTTTCTCTGATAGTGTAACATCGGGTTGGGGTCTTTAAGATAAACCATGTTTTATTTGAGTTATTTTGATTATCTTCCCGTATGAGGAAAACTTTGGATTATGCCTTTTGTGTTCCGTTGTCTGTGAGCAAGTTTTGATATCTTTTGGGAAAACCCGTTGTACACGGAGCATTGACTTATTTTGAGTTATTGAGAAATGTACGCCCTTTGAGGTGATTTTTATTGAGTTAAATATTTTACTCTGATATATGTGAAAAATGTGCCTTTTAATTGTGGGGTAGAAAAGGGTGTTACAGCCACCACACAGATGGTTTGACTAAGATCGTCAAGTTTGTAGGCAGTCTCAAAGTAATTTTAGAATGCTTGAATTTCTTTGATGTGAATCGAAATACCTTTCTTGGATTTTCCCTGTACAGAAGCAAAAGCGGTGGTTAGGTGCTGAGTAAAAGCAGGAACGTCGAACACCTCTGTGGAGTAATAATTTCTCCACCAAGTGTCATATTCTTAAGTGTAGTGGTATGATGGTTTGAATGGAATAGAAGTAAGTTGTGTAGTACCAAATAATGAGACATCTCCTCGTTACATTCAGCTTTAGTGTGGTACATATTGTAGAGAACGACACTTTTCTTGGTGAAGATTGGCTTGGGCATAACTTATTTGAGACCAAACTACCGAGAGACAAGACTGGGTTGGTAGCTGAGATGAATTATCTGGTTTTTTGAAGGACTGAGCCTTGTTGCAATTAACTTTGGTGTGAGAAATGCTTCCCATATGACCAATGATTCCGCCTCTTAATCTTTTGAGTGAGCGAGGAATTTCCTAGTAAACCACTCTGGGCCATAAGTTCTGTAGGCGAATGGATCCATAGAAGGAGTGAAGTTGTTGCACTTGGTGTACATCATCACATACCCGGTAAAGGTTTCCTGCAAGTTTAGCCCTTCATCATTAGGAATCAGTTGGATAAGGCGTGTGTCGCGGTGAAATTTGATACCAAGCTATTAATGAGCTTGAATCTTAATTCATTTGCAACCGAACTTTGATTTTTTCAAAGGAAGGGAAAAAGATCGAAATACCCACAATGCAATGCAAATGCAAAATTCTAGAGAGTTATAGGTTCGGGGGTTGGTTAAACTTAGGGAAGGTGCTAGCATCCTAAGTTTCTGTAGTACTCTACAGGAACCTCTTGTTTTATGTTTGTTTATTGCTAA